CGACCAAACGAGACCAACCGACGTACACCCTCCCTCCCTCCCTCCCCCTCCCCCCCCCCCTCCCCCCCCCCCCCCCCCACCCTCCCTTTCCTGTATCATGCTGAGGTTGGTGTGGGAGCGACTGACTGAGGTTGCGTTCTCGCCTCGGTGGTGGTTGGTGGTGGCGGTGGTGGTGGGGCTCGCTGAGGTTGTGCTCAACGCGGTGGTGGTGGCCAAGGTCCCGTACACGGAGATCGACTACACTACATACTGTCAGCAGGTTGCGTTGGTTTCTGGTGGCGAGCGTAACTATCTGGCGCTGCGTGGTGATACCGGGCCGTGCCCGTACCCCGCGGGGTATGTGTGGGCGTACACGGCGCTTTGCTCGGTGGCCGATGGGACCGACGGTGTGGCCTCGCTGCTGCCCATCCAGATCTTCTTTGCTGGCCTCCATGTGGCGACGTATGGTCTGGTGGCGTACATCTACAGTGTGGCTGGGCGGGCGCACAAACACGACCACCCGGCGCTGAAGCTCTTTCCGCGGCGCGGCGCAGGCGAGGCCATCCTCCCGCCGCTCGTCCTCGTTCTCCTTGCGGCCTCACACCGGATCCACTCGATCTTTGCACTGCGACTGTTCAACGACCCAGTGGCCATGTTCTTTGTCTACGCCTCGATCGCGGTCCTTGTCTCCCGTGGCTCCGACTACTTGGTCATGGCGCTGTTCTCCCTCGGAGTCTCGGTCAAGATGAACGCGCTCCTCTTTGCGCCTGCGCTCGGCATCATCATGGTCAAGCGCGTGGGAATGCTGTGGACGATCCCACGGCTGGCGGTGGCGGCAGCGGTCCAAGTCGGCCTCGCTTGGCCGTTCCTCACCGCCAATGCCGAGGGCTACATCGGACGCGCCTTTGACCTCTCGCGGGTCTTTGAGTACAAGTGGACGGTGAACCTCAAGTTCCTCCCAGAGCCCATCTTTGTTTCCAAGACAACGGCGGCAGTGCTTCTTGCTGGACACGCTGGTGTTCTGGCACTCTTCATCCTCACCCGGTGGCTCCACGCGCAGGGCGGCGGGCTCGCGGGCGTGTGGCGGCTGCTGCGGACTGCGCCGCCAGCCGATGCGCCGCCACTCTCGCCGTACCACATGGTACGCATGCTCTTTGTCTCCAACTTTATCGGCGTCGTCTTTGCGCGGACGCTCCACTATCAGTTCTACTCGTGGTACTTTCACACGCTCCCGTTCCTCCTCTGGGCGACGCCGCTCCCTCTTGTGGCCCGCCTCGCCATTTTCGCCGCCATCGAGTACGCCTTTAATGTCTTTCCGGCCACCACCGCTTCGTCAGGCATCCTCGCTGCCGCCCACACCCTCCTTCTCGTCGGCCTCTTTGTCGGGCCTGCCGAGGGCGAGCGGCTCTGCCGCCATGACGACTGCGGTTCCCGGCGCAAGCTCGAATGAACTGCACAGCCTCAGAGCGCGTCTCCAAGCCCAACACCCGACTCGGTTATGGCTGGAGGGCGGGAAGAGGCACCGGCACAGCGGCAGCTGCGCTTGCATATAGAGCGTGCCAAGCGGGTGCAGCGGGTTCTGATGGGTATGCTGGTTCTGGCCCTGGTGACCGGCGTGGCGGGGTGCTCGTCGGCGCGGCGCTGGTGTACGGCGACGTCGAGTTTGGCCTCGGCCTGCTCACCATGCCGATTCCCGGCGCGCTCATCGTCTTTGGTCTGGTGGTCTTCCTGGGCGCGCTCTGCCTCACCTACCTCCTTGTGTGGCATGAGACGGCGTGGCATGTCCATGTAGTGGCAGCAGGCCTCGCCTTTGTTGCCTACGCCGCCGTCGCCGCCGTCGCCTGCGCCGCGCTCTGGCACTCGCGGCATCTTGCGCAGGTGATGCAGAACGGGTGGGAGGAGGCCTCGCCGGATGTCCGCGACAAGATCCAGGCCAAGTTTGCATGCTGCGGCTGGAACTCGTACGCCCATTTGCCCGGGCCGTCGTGCAATGTCAACGACGCCACCCGCCCGGCATGCTCCTCGGGCGTTCTCGCCCACACCTCGCTCCGCCTCCGCATGTTTGAGGCCACGGCACTGGTGGTCGGCCTCATGCTGGCAGCCATCATCCTCCTTCTTGTCGCCTACGTTGTCGAGACCCGCGCCGCTCTTGATCTCCGTCACGAGCTCTCAATCGAGCTCTCAGGCCAGTACTCGAGCAGCCAGGCGCCCGCAGCCAAGCCTACAGAATCCAGAAGCCGCAGCACCAAGGGTACTACCACGAGCACTGCCGTCGATGCCGCCTTGTAGCCGAGCGTCGCCCAATCGTATGGTTAAACAGGAAGCGCGGGCAGAGAGTTGATCATGCGGTTGACGCCAAAGTAGGCGACGGATGTTGCGGACGGCAGGGTCGCCGCCACGCTCACGACACTTGTCGTCCTCCCCCCTCCTGAGACCATGACGCACCAGCCACCACAGTTCCAGACCGCCAGCTCGTACGAGATGGTCATGGGCTTTGTGCACGCGGTGGACTGGTCTGAGCCGTGGCTGCTGGCGGTGGTGGGTGGCCACGTGGCGGTGGCACTCGCTGCGCTCACCTCGCGCAGCTCGCAAGTCGGACAAGCGAGCATCTACGTCCTCGCACTCGGCATCGTGTACAGCATGGAGCGAATCAACAAGTGGGCAGCCGACAACTGGGCCTCGTTTGCCTCGCAGAACTACTTTGATGCCAACGGCGCGTTCCTCTCTATCATCGTTTCGGCTCCGCTCCTCCTTATCTGCCTGGCTATGCTGCTCTGCTCCCTCCGCGAAGCGGCTGGTCTGCTGTTCAAGGTTGGTAAGGCCCGCGCCCGTGCCCAGATGGCCGCAAAGGCTCGCGCGGCAGATGCTGCGGCTGGCGGCGCCGGTGCGGCTACGCAAAGTTGAGCGCCTTGGCAACGGGCTCGGCGGCAGGGGCATTGTCGTTGTCGTCGTCGTCGTCGTCGTCGTCCTCGGCTGCCCTCAGCGAGTTGAACCGGATAGACGGCTTGGCATGCGTGTGGCTGATGTGCGGCGTGAGGCCGGAGCGGACCCGGCGCGACGGGGTGTTGGCTGCGCGCGCCCGAAGAAGTGCGATGGTGGTCGGTCGCTGCGGCTTGCGGGCTGTCGACCGCGAAGCCTTGACCCGCGAGGCCGGCGTCCGCAGCAGCGAGCGGCCAGCGCCGGTCTTGCGGCGCGGGGTAGTGTACGGGCTCCCGGCAGGTGTGGCGATGGGTGTGCCGGGGTTGTTCTCTGCACCAGCACCGCGGCGCGGCTTGGTGCGCGGCGTCTGCGGCGCTGGACTGGCCGTGTTGATGGCTGCGCGCTTAAGCGGAGTCCGGCGTGGAGTGCTTGTTTTCCAAGAATACGCAATAGGCGGCGCCTCCTACCCGCTTGAGCGAGACCGATGAGGCCATGGCGCGGCGGCGCAGTGCCGCCGTCTGCGACGGCTCGTGGAACGGGCGCGGCGCCGACCACCAGGCGGCGTTGTCGGCGGCGAGGGCAGCATCGGCCGCCGCCCGCGACTCGGGCGATAATGAAGGCGAAAGTAGCGAGGCTGACGAGCCGCGCCGTCCACGGCGGCTATCGGGCGTTGATGGCGAGCCGAGCGCCGTGTCGCCGGACAAGAAGGCCGTTGTCTGCGGCGAGCCGGTGAGCTCAACGTACTGTGGACAGTCAAAGTCGAACAGCGGGTCGTGTGTGCGGCATGGGGTCGAGTCGAACAGCCGAACCTGGTCCCATTCCATGGCTAGCACAGGAGATAGACAGCAAGAGAGAAAAAGAGCGAAGAGGGGGTGAGTGCAGTGTGGTGAGGAGTGGTGGCCTGGGCGAGCGTTGAGTGGCGTGGAGCTGCGCTGGTCTGCGAAAGTTTGATTTTTTCGTCCGCCCGCCGCTTGACACGGCCATCGTCATCAATTCGGCTTGGCGGGCACGGTGGGTGCAACAGCTGCGAGGTTCAAAGGAGAATAAGCGGTGTTGATGTTTTGCGTGGTTGGCTTGCCGCGTTGAGAGTCTGGGTCGACTGCGGGGGCGCGATGGCCGGCGTGGCAGCCGAGAGCGCCGAAAAGTCAAAGACGCCCGGAGCTGGAGCTGGAGCTGCGGCAGGTGGCGCAGCAGCTGGAATGGAAGCGGGTGGAGCGGCAAGCGCGGCAGCAAAGCCGGACGGTCCGCTGCTGGTACCCGAGGTGGCACGAGACGAGGCAAAGGCGGCGAAAAAGGCGTCATCGGAGACAGGCTGCGCGGTGGCAAGCGCAGGTGCAGGGGCAGGTGCAGGCGCGGCGGCAGGTGCAGAAAACATGTCGATGAGCGAGGGTGTGCTGGCAGCGGCGGCGGCGTTGGAGGCAAACTGCGACTCGAGCGAGGCCTGGGCCTCGGGCGATGTTGTGCCTGTGGCCGGGCGCGGCGGCGGGATGAACATGGCCTTGGCCTGATCAAAGTTTCGAGTCGAGGCGCGGCGGCGGCCAGACGACGGCGGCGGAGCAATCTTGCCGATAGGAGCCATGTCGCCGACGGTGGCCGAGCGGCCGGCACGGCTTGAGCGTGCCGGCCGGGCTGGCGCGCCGGCCGGCGGCGGTGTCTGGGCCGACGAGAACGTCTCGTCATCGGCTGTCTGTTCAAACTGGGCGCCAAACTCGGATGGATCCTGCGCCGAGGTCGTGCCGGCCTCGAGAGACTCGACGTACTGGTTCTCGCGCTTGAGATCCTCGAGTTTGTGGCGGATAAAGATGGAGATGGCGAGTTCGGCCTTGTGCGCATTGTCCTTGTTGGCCTTGGTGAAGACGAGCATGACCACCCGCTGGGTCGACTCGTACTGAGTCCGGCCTGTGAGGCCGAGGAAGCCCTTGACCACCCACGACGCGTAGTTCTTGATGAGCTCGTACGGCATGAACCATCGCTCGCCGCTCTTGATCTGGCGGATGTCCACCCCGTTCTTGTCGATTGTCAGCTCGGCATCGACCCGCGACCACTTGGAGATGACCAGCTGCACAATGCACGACACCGCGCGACAGGTGAGTGTAGGGAGGGATGGATGTAGGGAGGAGGGGAGGGGGAGGGGAGGGAAGGGAGCGACGTTCGACGTACCTTACAGGCAAAGGTGACCGGCTCGAGGGCAGAGGCGTCCATGGTAGTGGCGGTAGCAAGGGCAGCAGCACAGCACGACTATGCCTCACTCTGGCGAGATGTGTTGGGTGTGGTGGAAGAGAGAGTCAAGAGGGGACTCTTTGCTCAACGCTGGCGGCTCGAGGCTGTCTGTTCGAGGCTGTGTGTTGGTGCGGCTGGCCACCGCCGCCGAACCCGGCTGACCGCTTCCCTCACCCGCCCGTCACAGGTGCGTCGTTCTCGAGAACTCTCATCAGAGGGGAGGGGGTGGGGGGGGAGGGGGAGGGGGGGAGGGGGTATGAGGAACAGGGCCATGGTCTTCGCTGCTGTGGCTGCAGCAATAGCCACTCCATCACCACCCACGTCATCAAGCACGGCAAGTTATATACCGCCTTCACATGCCCTTGGATGTGATGATCCCCCCCCCCTCCAGCTGCTCCCTCTTTCGTCTCTGGTCGCATCGACGCCCAATTGAGCAAAGCCCCTTCGACCCCCCCCCCCCCTTCCCCCTACCCCACCCCCCTTCTCGGGCGCTCGCGCAACCCCCTTCCCACACACCTCACCCTAAGGCAACACACCTACATAGGATATATGGCGTCGCAGAGATACGGGTCGGACTCGGGCTCGTCGTCGTCGTCGGGAGACAGCGCGGGGCTGGGGGTCGGTGGGCAGCGGCCAGTCGTGCCGCCGCGGTCCGACACCGACGCAGGGGCTGGAGACGGATCGGGTGCGGGGCGCGGCGGCGTAGAGGGAGGCAGCTGTGGTGGGAGTGGTGGGAGTGGCGGTGCCGACGTGCTGCTACAGCCGCTGATTGCGCACAAGCGGATGGGGCTCAAGGCAAGGCGGGCACGCGGGCATTTGCAGCTCAAGCCGACCACGCTGGCTGGGACCAAGCCGATGCGGTCCGCGACGTCGCCCGAAGCGACCGTGGCATCGCTGCTGGATGCGGTGGCGCGCGGGCGCGGTAAGGATGGAGAGGCCGGCAAAGGCGGCGGGAAGGTCCAGGTTGTTCTGGCGGATCTGGTGGACGACGGCGTGCTCGGCGAGGGCGCGCAGGGCTTTGTCACCCGCGTGGTTCACGAGCCGACCGGCGTGGTCATGGCGGTCAAGCACATTCGGCTCGATCCGACGTCAGAGACGGAGCCGGAGACGCGGGCCAAGCGGGCTAAGCTTGTTACCGAGGTCAAAACATACCTCACCGCCGAGTGCATCAACATTGTGTCGTCGTACGGCACGTTTGTGGACGAGGGCATGATCAAGATTGTCCTCGAGTACATGGACGGCGGCTCGCTGCTGAGCCACCGGGCAGCGGTGGCTGGCGAGACGAACGAGGTGAAGATGCAGCTGCTAGCAGCCGTCGCCCACCAGATTGTCAACGGCCTGGACTATCTCCATGCCGAGCGGCACCTGGTCCACCGCGACCTCAAGCCCGAGAACATCCTCCTCTCGTCCGACGGGACGGTCAAGATCACCGACTTTGGCGTTTCCAAGGAGGTCGAGTCGACGCTCGCCAACTGCAACACATTTGTCGGCACGCTCACCTACATGTCGCCGGAGCGCATCGACACGCTACGCGCCGTTGCCGGCTACAACTACGCCGCTGACATCTGGTCGCTCGGCATCATCCTTGTCGAATGCGCCATTGGCAAGTACCCGTACCCGGCCACCAACCCGGAGCAGCTGCTGGACCACATGAACCTCGTGTGCGAGTCAGACCCGCCGCTTGACTCGTGGCTGCCGCCGTCGTCGACGCCGGGACCCTTTCGCGACTTTGTCGCCCGCTGCCTCGTCCGCGATCAAACCGCCCGCGCCACCGCCGCCGAGCTCGCTGCCCACCCGTTCCTCACCGGTCGTGACCCCAACTTTGACCTCTCGCAGTGGGTCCGCGACCAGATTCTTCCCGCGAGCTCGCTGTAAAAGCCAATCACAGCTAGCTGCCACTCCACCCGACTCTTGCTCCACACCATGGCCGATCGGAGGAAGCGCCACCAGGGCTCGCGTGTGCTCGAGCAGCAGACGTACGGCGTCCAACTGAGTACGTACCACGCATGCATATGGCTGTGCTTGACAAGCATGCCCGGGGACTTGTGGCTGTGGGAAGCCAGGGAGGGCATGGCTATCCCTTGGGTGGTGGCGGCCGCGACATGTGATGGAAGGCCCATCCATCCAGGAGAGAGCGGCAGCCAGGGTGAGGGCCACGGAGGGGACTCACACGGAAGAGGGCGTGGTATTTTGGGACGGTGACCTGGGGAGGGGGGATGCTATACAGACAAGACGTTTGGGCAACACTTTCTGGCGTCTAACAAGATCATTACCGAGATCATCAACAAGTCCGAGCTCAAGTCGACCGACGTGGTGCTGGAGATCGGGCCTGGCGCCGGCGCACTGACGTTCCGGATGCTGGAGGTTGTGAAAAAGGTGATTGCGGTGGAGATTGATCCGCGGCATGTGGCCGAGCTGCGGAAGCGGGTCCAGGGCACACCGTACGCTAAGAAGCTGGAGATCATTGTGGGCGACGTGCTGCGTGTGGATCTGCCGTACTTTGACATCTGCGTCGCCAACATCCCGTACCAGATCTCGTCGCCGCTGGTCTTCAAGCTGCTTGCGGTGCCGAACGCGTACCGGTCTGCGGTGCTGATGTTCCAGCGCGAGTTTGCCATGCGGCTGGTGGCGGCGCCGGGCGATCCGCTCTACTGCCGCCTCTCGGCCAATACACAGCTGCTCTCGACGGTGGAGCACCTGGTCAAGGTCCCGCGGTCGGCCTTCCGGCCGCCGCCCAAGGTCGAGTCGTCGGTCATCCGCATCACTCCGCGCAACCCGCGGCCAGCCATTAACTTTGTCGAGTGGGACGGCCTCACCCGGCTCTGCTTCTCGCGCAAGAACAAGTCGCTCGGCTCGATCTTTCGGCAAAAGTCGGTGGCCAAGCTTCTCGAGGAGAACTACCGGACGTGGTGCGCGCTCAACAACGAGCCGGTCGATCCCGAAGCCGGTTCGATGAAGGAGCGCGCGCTCGCCATCCTCACCGAGTCCGAGTACGAGAAGCAGCGTGCACGCCGGCTGGACATTGACGACTTTATCATCCTGCTGACCAAGTTTAATGAGGCCGGCATCCACTTTTGCTGAGCTTCGAGTGCACGTCCTTCATTCAGCCCATGCTTGCGACGTGTGCGGCCGCGTAGGCGTTTGGTGACGCGGCGGGGAACTCGCTGTTGACGTCGACGTAGTGCTCGCCGTACTCGGTCTCACCCGCAGTCGCCAGGGAGGCGCCCGGCGAGTGCGGCATGATCCGGGTTTGGACGCCTAGCAGGCGGGCGGTGACCCGTGCCGCCCTCTGCTTGGAACTTGTCGGCCGGGCGCGGAGGCTCTCGACTGCGGCCTGCGCTGCGAGCTCTGTGGTGGAGCGGCGCGCGCGGGCGGCAGCGGCGAGCGCATCTGCCGACCGCGACGTCGACGCCCACTCGACGCCCTGCACAAACGGCGGCTGGGTTGTGATCGATCGCGCAAACGACGAGTCTTCGACGAAGTTGACTAGCGGGACCGGGCGAGCGGCGGCGTCCGCGATCGCGTCCTTGGTCGCCTCACCATCAAACGACGCCGTGTAGACCGAGACGCCTGTCGGCTGGGTGGTGCCCTGGCCGGCAGACACCGCCGGCGGCGGGCAGTTGATGGTAAAGCCCGAGGCAGTCTTGACAATGTCCGGTGCCACCCGGCCGGACCGCGTCGCCGACGCGCCGTAGTCGAGCGCCTCGACGCCCGCGCTTGCCAGGCGTGACGACTGCTGCCACCGTTCACCATCGCCGCCGTAGCCAAGCGCATGGCTCGCCATGGTGTTGGCATTGTTCGCTGAGTAACCCGACGGGACAACCACCACGTTGTCTGGCACAGCACGCCCACCATCAGTCTTGTCGGCAGTCTTGGCGTCACCACCGGTGATGCTGCCGAAGCCGTCACCGTACGACGTCTGGGCCTCGAGGCCGCGGATGGACGCCAGCCGCAGCGCTGCGCTCGGATGCCGCTCGGGCCACGCCACCTGCGACGGAGTGCCCCTATGCGCCGACACAGCTTTTGGCTGGCGGAGCACATTCGGCACGTTGGGCTCTGCGTTGGCCTCCGAGTGCTCGGCCGTGTACTGGGAGATGTACATGTCGCGGACGCTCATGGTTGACCGTTGTCGGAGAAATCGTCGGAGATGGCAACAAAGAAGGCAACAGGTCAACTAATGGAGATGTGTGTACTCGACACGTGCAATGGTGGAAGGGCGAGGGGTGAGTGGAGGCAGGTGTGTGCATGTGTGTGTGTGTGTGGGGGGGGGGGGGGGGGGGGAAAAGGGGGCCCAACCGACAACCGCCCAACTCAGCGATCGAACCAAATGTGTGCACTGTGTCACTCACCACCTCCGACTCACCCCCTACTTCCCCCACCTTTGTGGCCTACTGTATGAGTTGCACTCGCCCGCACTTCTCTCTCTCCCACGCACACACGCACACACACGCCACACTGCCCGCTCACCACAGCTAGGAAGAGACGTTGTCCTGCTACAACTGACTTTTCAAGTAGGCAGATGGCGAGCGCGGGCGTGGCGGCGTGGGCGGTGCCTGGCGGACGGCGGCGCGGCGGAGGGCAGGCAAGCAGTGCGCGGACGGGTGGCTTGGCAGACCATGACGGAAGACTTGGCAAGCGTGGCAAGTGTGGCAGCGGAACACGTCCGGCAACGGCGGGGGCGGTGCAGGGCGGCCGTCGGCTGGCCTCGTACTCGCCAGACCGATACGCTGACTCGCCCGACAGCGGCGGCGGGCGGCGGGCGTACCCAGCGCGGGCCGGGAGCAGCAGCTGGCAGCGCGTAAGCGGGAAACCCGAGTCGTCGTCGCCGCTGACCATCGCGCGACTGACTGGCGCGCGCGGTGCATGGACTGTGGTTCCCGACCGTCCGGCGACGTCGCGCGGGGCGCGGGCAAGTCCCGAGGCGCGCAAGTCGTCGTTCGCTTCCCGGACCAGCAAGGCGCGGAAGAGCGGGAGCCGCACGGCAGAGAATCGAAGCAGCAAGCGGGGCAAGAAGCAGCAAGCAGGCAAGGCGCCGCGGACCGAGCGAGGTTCACGGGCGCGGGCGCGGGCAGGCGCGGGCGCGAGTTTGTCTGCGCCAATGGCGGCATCGTTTGCGTTTGAACGGCGGCGGCGGGCAGTGGTTGCCGAGGCAATGCGCGGGCTCGACGTTGAGCTCACTTCCAAGAGCGATCCAAACTGCGGTGTGATCTGGCTGGACCGAGCCGGGACGACAGAGCGGCTGGCGCGGCTGGCGGAGCACCAGAAGATGAACCGGCTGCCGGGCCTGGCGGCACTGACGCGCAAGGGTCAGTTCTCGGCGTATATGCACCGGGCCAAGCTTGCCGAGCCGGAGGCGTACGACTTTTATCCGCGTTCTTGGTCGCTGCCCGACGAGCGTGATGAATGCATCGAGTACATGGACACGTACGGCGAGGCAATGATCTGCAAGCCGTCGGGGGGGTCTTGCGGGCGCGGTATTTTCCTGGCAACGACGCCGGGCGAGCTGCCGACCGACATTGGCGACATGGTGGCGCAAGAGTACATCGACAATCCGCTGCTGCTCTGCGGGCTCAAGTGGGACCTCCGGATCTACGTCTTAGTGACAAGCGTTGACCCGCTCTCGGTCTTTCTCTATCGGGAGGGCCTCGCCCGGTTTGCCACCACGCCCTACGAGGCGCCGAGCGCCAGCAACGCCAGCAAGGCCTTTATGCATCTCACCAACTTTTCAGTCAACCGCCACTCGGCGCGGTTTGTGGACGAGGAGACTGGCGCTGACGAGTTTGGCGAGGACGAGGACGGCGACGAGTCCGAGTCGGAGCGCGGGAGCAGCCCCGGAGCCACCAAGCGGCTAATGACAACGCTTTTTGACGAGCTCGAGGATCTCGGGCACGATGTCGACTTGCTGTGGTGGCAGATCAAGGCCATTGTGGGCAAGACGCTCCATGCGCTCCACACACCTCTCAAGACCCAGTACCGGGCGGTGGTCGCGCCCGAGGCAGACGGCTCGCACTGCTTTCACGTTCTTGGCTTTGACATCATGGTCGACGACGAGCTCAATCCATGGCTTCTTGAGGTGAATCACTCGCCATCGCTGCAGTGTTCGATGGATGTCGATTGGGACGTGAAGCTGCCGATGCTTGAGGACGCGTTCAAGCTGCTCAACATTGGCCCGCCGTCGCGGTCGGCCTCGCTCGCGGCGGCGCGCGAGGCCATTGCCGGGAGTAGCTCGTCGGCGACGGCGCTGCGGCGGGCGCAGTATCGGGCACGGGTCAAGCGCATGTACGAGGACGGCCACGTCGGCAACTGGGAGCGGGTCTGCCCGCCGACGCCTGCCGAAGTTGCCGAGTACTCGCACTCGTCTGTGTTTGGCAGCGCCAAGCTCGCGCACGCCTTCCGGTCGTGCTGCTGGAAGCGGTTCCTAGCCGACCGATATCCGATGGGCTCGCAGAACTTCAAGAAGCTGCTTCGGTCGGCAGACGTGCTCTCGCGGCGGTTCACCTCGATGGACGCCGACCTGCTCTTCATGCAGATCAACATGGAAGAGGGATCCGGAACGCACCGGATATCGTTTGGTGGCCTTTGCGAAGCGCTCATCGAGGTCGCGCTCCGGGTCTTCCCCGACATGCCGCTGCCGCAGGCACTGAAGGCGCTGGTGGCGCGGCTCCCCGAGCCAGAGCACCCGCCCCACGCGCCAGCCTGCTGCGACGTGGCGCTGCCGGTGACCCGCAACCTGCCCCGGAGCCGCGAGTCTGCCCGGACTCGAGCGAGCAAAGATTGATGCGGAGAGCTTGATCCAACCGGCTCCCGGCCGCCAAAGAGTTTCGTAAAAGACTGCCGCTGGTGGCGCTGGCTGCGCGGGCCACCAGCGGGTGAGTGGCGGCCACGTGTCAAGCGCGGCAGGGTGTCGGGGCACCTGACTCGGTGGCGAGCAAGAGGCAGTGGCGTTATGACGCCGACAATGCTGGAGCGAGTTGTTGCATGGACTGTGGTGCTGCCGTGGGGAGTGGGCGTGGTGTTTGCGCTGCTGCCGCTGGCGTGGCTGGCGGTGGCGGTCAAGGGTTGGAAGTGGACGTGGGGCGTGGCGAGGTCACTGGCGGTACCTTCGACGTACCGTGCGCGATGGCTGCTGAGCCTCGCCTGGTTCGCTGCCTTTCACTTGGCCAAGCTTGGCTACAAGGCGAGCTTCCGGCGGGTGGGCGTGCTAAAGAAGGTGGCGCGGATGTGTGTCGGGCGGATGTACCGGCTGCACGACCCGCTCTGCGGGGTTCGCCCCACCCCATCCGTGGTCATTCCGCTCGGCGACGGCGTCCCGAGCTCGGCCTCGCTCTTTCTTCCGGACGTCGAGGACGATGCGGTGCGGGCGCGGGTGGCGGCAGTCTTTCCGCATCCGGACACGGCCGAGGCAGCGATGCGTCGCGGCAAGTTCCCAGTTGTCCTCATCCGTACGCCGTACGATCGGCGCAACCTCGTCGGCTCGGCGTACATGCTCGCTGAGCGCGGGTTTGCAGTGGTGACGCAGGACTCGCGCGGGCGGGCCGACTCTGGTGGTGACTTTTTCCCCATTGCGCACGAGCGGGCCGACTCGGGCGCGACCCTCGACTGGATCGCAGCCCAGGATTGGTGTTCGGGTGCGGTCGGCATGTACGGCATCTCGTACATGGGCATGAATGCGTGGGCGGCGGTCGGCGCCAAGCGAGGCGTGCTCAAGGCGGTTGTGCCTGCGCTTTGCGCCACCCACTTGCATCCGATCCTGTTTCCGGGCGGTGCGCCGGCGCTCGAGCTTGTCCTCCGATGGTCGTATCTAGTGATGGGGCTCGCGGCAGGGCCGGCGTGGCGAATGGCGTGGAACGGCTTTGTCTCGCCGGAGCAGCGGTACATCGATGCGCTTAGTCATCTGCCGCTGGCCACGGTCGACACGCTTGTCGGCCCGCCCGGCGAGCGCATCGACTTTATCCGTGACGGGCTCTCGCACCCTTCGCTCGAGCACGACGCCGAGTTCTGGGCCGACAAGAACGAGCTGGCCGACCTGGGATCGGTTGCGATCCCGCCGGTCCATCTTGTGGGTGGCTGGCACGACTTTTTCCTTGAGGAGCAGCTGAAAGACTACGAAGCCGCAAGTGCGGCCGGCGCGACGACAGCGCTCACCATCGGCCCGTTTGCGCACTGGTCAGTCTTTGACTATCGTCCGATGCTCATGCGCGACGCGCTGGCGTGGTTTACTCAGCACCTGACGCACGCACCCGACGAGCTAGATGGGGCGCAGCTTGACGACTCGGTGCTCAGGTCGGAGGCCGAGGCTGATCGCGGCTCGGTGATGACGCTCGCCTTCCCTGTCCGGCTGTACGTCCAGGGCTCGGAACGGTGGGTGCGATACGCTTCGTGGCCGCCGCCTTCGCAGCGAGTCCCGCTCTACCTCTCTGGCCACGGAGTGCTCACGGCCGGCCCCGCGGCTGACGGCATCGGCGGCGACGACCCGCATTCAGAGTACGTGTACGATCCGGCGAACCCGACGCCGGCGGTTGGCGGGCCATCGTTCCACAACCTTAACGCTGGACGTGTGGCACAGAACGGAGTCGAGGCCCGCGACGACGTTCTTGTTTTTACCTCTGTCCCCCTCGGCGAAGACATCTCGGTGGTGGGCTACCCAGAGCTGTCGATGCGGGTGGCGAGCAACGCGCCAGGCTCGACCGATTTTGTATTTCGGCTCTGCGACGTCGACGCCGACGGCGTCTCGTACAACGTCTCCGAGTCGAACATCCGGTTAAGTGTGGAGAGCGAGGGAGAGGCCGATGGCGCGAGCGGGCTCAACCATTTCGCGATTTCCGGCAAGCGGCTTGGGGCTGTCGGGTACACATTTTGTCGTGGACACCGGATCCGGCTGCAGGTGTGCTCGGGCGCGCATCCGCGGCTGATGCGCAATCTCGGGTACGACGACCCGCTTGTGAGCGCGGAGCGAATGGTGGTGCAGCAGCAGCGGGTGTACCACCGCGGGGCGTCGCTGGCGCTACCGGTGGTCAATCTGTGAGCAAGAGAGCAAGTGAGAGACAATGTGTGTACTTTGCAGCGAGAGAGGCTAGTCCTCGCGGTTGATGAGGAGGCCGGCGTTTGCGGTCATGAGGGTGACTGGGATCAAGCCGATCCACGACCAGGAGATGTCAAACTCAAACTGGCGGCCATTGCCGGCGGAGGCCTTCTTCCAGTCGTCCGAAGGGAAGACAATGGCGGCGTAGAGGACCCATGCCAGCGAGATGAAGAAGCAGGCGGCGAGGCAGATGCCCATGGCGATCTTGCGTGCGCGGGCTTGGTCGGAGAGGCATGCCGACTCGCAGCCGACAGCCAGGAGAATGACCATGACCATGCCGCCGATGACGGAGAAGAGAGCCAAGAGGCCAAAGCCGAGGACGAGCCTGCCGCCCTGGTACAGCTTCTTGCTCCCGTCGTCGTTCTTGAGGTTGTGGCACTCTTCCTTGGAGCCCTCCACCACAGTACAGAACTGGACAACGCCTACTCTGACCCTCAGCTTTTGCCCCGGTAGCGGTGCCTGGTCCACCCACTTGCGGCCGTAGTCCACGGTGGCCAGTGCGATCTGTAGCAGAGAGAGTGTGGGTGGGTGGGTGGGGTGGGGGGGGGTGGGGGGGTGGGGGGGGTGGGGGGGTGGGGGGGTGGGGTGGGGGGGTGGGGGGTGAGATAAACCAGTGCGCCAGGTGCATGCACGGGGACGGGGGGCTGGGGTGGGCGGGGCGTACAATGATGGCCACAAAGGAGAGGGTAAGCATGAGGCAGGAGCAGATATGGTTGAGGGTTGGCATGGTTAAGGGGTGCCGGAGAGTGGAATGTCAGAGTGGGGAGGGAGCGAGGGAGGGAGCGGGGGAGCAAGGGAGGGAGAGGGAGGGCGAGGGGCGGTGGTGGTGACGGAGGCTGGTGTCGTGGGTGGGGTTTTCGAGCGAATTCACTCGTTTGCACGCATCGGCACACCCGACAACAGGTGGCAGGCGACAGGTGGCAAGTGGCAAGTGGCAAGCGGCAGGTGACTGACGGCAGTCGGCGGTGAGTGATCAAAGATCAGAGGTTGTCGATGACGGACCGCTCGTGGCGCTGCCAGAAGAACAGGTGGTCAGCGGACGAGTTGGCGGCGTCGAGGGCGGCGCGGTGGGCGTACTCGTCCTCTGCAGCGCGGCGGGCAAGCTCTGCGGCGTACTTTTCGCCGATACGCTGTTCGAGGTGCTGGATCTTGGCCAGGAGACGGGCGCGGGAGGCCTCGAGGGTGCGAAGCTCATTGACATGCTCTTCGGCGGCGGCGGCCTTGTCCTGCGTGGCAGCAGTGAGGTACATGAGGCGGTCCGAGAGAGCAGAGTTGTCTCGAGAGAGCCGGGTGGCAAGCCCCGACTCGGTGTTGACGATGTCCTCAAAGAGGGTACGAAGCTCGAGGAGCTCGCGCTCGTGGGCACGGATCTTGTTGAGCTGGAGCATGATGCGGCCTTCAAGCTGGAGGATCTGGTTCTTGCCTCGGGCATGGGAAGTGGCCATGGCCGGCTCGGAGCTCGAAGAGCGAAGCGGCGATTCGCGCCGGAGAGCAGCAAGCGGTGCGGGTGGTGGGCGGCGGCTGAACGAGACCTTGCGAGCTGGCGGAGCCTGGTCGATATCGAGCACAATGTCGTCTGCAAGCGGTAGCGCGGCAGCTTCAAAGCGCGTGCGTGGCGGACTCGGCACGAGAAAGGCGGGATCGTTGAGCACGTCGACCAGATCGTCGACCGCCTCGTCCCACACGTCCTTCTCCAGTGGTGAGAGCCGAGTCCGCAAGACGGCGAGTTGGGCCACAATGTGCGGGCCAAGCGAGTGCATCAGCGGGAGCAGCGGCGACATCGGCTGCACATGGCGGAGCAGCGTATCGCAAAGCGTCAACGCTACAGCGTCAGCCTTGGGCGACGGCTTGATAACCGGTGACCGAGAGGATGCTGCAGCGGCGTCGGCGGCGGCGGCGGCGGCAGCAGCAGCACCCACTGCCCGCAGTGGCGAGCGGGAACCTCCCGCAGTGTACGGCGAGGCGACTGAGCCTGGCGGATGTCTTGGTGGCGAGGCGTTTTGCCCAGCTGACGGCAGTGGTGACGATGACAACGACGATGGCTTTGGGCTCTTCCGTGGTGGCCGACGAGTGGCCGGTAGGCCGTGGGCCTTGCGCCAGGCCGAGCGGGAGGAGAACGCGGCCCCTGAGTTTGAGACGACCGACTTGTGGGTGAATGACATGGTCTGTGTAGTGTGTCTGTGTGTGTGTGGGTGGGGGGGGTGGGGGGGGGGGGTGGGGGAGGGAGGGGGTGGGAGTAGTGTCTCGAAT